AAAGGGCCTATGGTGAGGGGGAGCAGCTGAGTGTAGGAAAAAACTGTAATGGAGCCCCTTGGGGGGGGGGGGTCTTTTTTTTTGGGGGGGGGGGTCTTTTTGGGGGGCGTCTTTTTTTTTTGGGGGGGGGTCTTTTTTTAGCTGGCGGTCGTCAGCTAGCCGGCGGTCGTCAGCTAGCCGGCGGTCGTCAGCGTAGCCGGCGGTCGTCAGCGTAGCCGGCGGTCGTCAGCGTAGCCGGCGGTCGTCAGCGTAGCCGGCGGTCGTCAGCGTAGCCGGCGGTCGTCAGCGTAGCCGGCGGTCGTCAGCGTAGCCGGCGGTCGTCAGCTAGCTGGCGGTCGTCAGCGTAGCCGGTGGCCGGTAGCGTTAGCCCCAAAGCCATGTCCAATTTTTAAACTACATTCAAGAGTCCCTTATTGCCTGGTTAAACAAGTTTTTTACATTTTCAGTACTACTTACATCCATTTATTCAATTTGTACACTCCCATGCTATCCTTTTCCAGTCTGTAAACAACTTTACAAAATGAATTCAATGATGGGCAAGGTTTTACTCCTCATATGAAAACGCCCAAACTTCGCGAGGTGAAACAAAGGGTCTTTCAATTCAAGTCTATTCAAGCCCAATATGGGCTAACAACTGGCCTGCATACCCGAGCAGAATCATTTTGTGCTCGACAAAGACACACAGCCTTGGGTAAAGAGGTCCATTATTATTATTTTGTTTAGTTATATTTTTTTCATTGACAGATCTCTGTTCAAGCCTCAAGATGGTCTTATTCTAGTACGCCTCATTAATCCCTCTGACGAAGCAGTCGATCTACCTGCAGACACCTGCCTTGGTCAATTCTTCTTCCTGTTTCTGTCGATGACAAAATATCCCATCTTTCATTGGGTTTTCGGCCAGACACAGTTTATTGACACATTCAAGTCTTGTATTACTGCCCGAACTCGCCAACCAGGTGAGCCTTTAGAAGTGTTTGCATCAGCCATTGCTTCCTTAGTAGAAGAGGCTTTCCCGTCTTATGATGACAATGCAAAAGGTGGTGAGAGATTTCGACGATTTGTTGCCGGGGTAGACAAACCGCTGTTCAAGCCTCAAGATGGTCTTATTCTAGTACGCCTCATTAATCCCTCTGACGAAGCAGTCGATCTACCTGCAGACACCTGCCTTGGTCAATTCTTCTTCCTGTTTCTGTCGATGACAAAATATCCCATCTTTCATTGGGTTTTCGGCCAGACACAGTTTATTGACACATTCAAGTCTTGTATTACTGCCCGAACTCGCCAACCAGGTGAGCCTTTAGAAGTGTTTGCATCAGCCATTGCTTCCTTAGTAGAAGAGGCTTTCCCGTCTTATGATGACAATGCAAAAGGTGGTGAGAGATTTCGACGATTTGTTGCCGGGGTAGACAAACCGCTTCAAGTTAAGATTCACGAGCTCGGAGGCTTTGATTTTGACGAGGCCTTGAAGATTGCACTTCGTGTAGAAAGAGCACAACAAGCACACGATTTTGGTATAGTAGCAGCTGTAGATGATCGGGTCCAGGACAAGACGCCTGCAGAAGCATCGGTCTTACGACTACTACTGCCAAGACTCAACGAGTTAGAAAAGAAGCTGGACAGGATGTCCTTAAAGTTAGAGACAGTTGAAAGGCCTAGCAGATCTCAGCAACGTGGTGGAAGCCCTTCAGGACGTGCCCATGAGGGAAGACACATGGAACGTCGTGGGTCTCCGTCACCAAGCCGTGACTACCGAAGACACAGGTCGCCAGAATATACAAGACAGAGATCTCCAGAATATGCAAGACACCGATCTCCAGGATATTCAAGACACAGATCTCCGGAATATGCAGGACGCAGATCTCCTGAATATGCAAGACGCATATCTCCAAGCCCTAATCGGAGCTACGCATATCAATCTAGGCGGCCCTATGAATCGTCTAGCAGCCGAAATCAGCAGCATCCTTCCACTGCAGGTTATCAAGTTGACTCCCATAGACAGGCTCCCTATCGTCAAGTTCGTTTTGAAGACCAGCAGCAGGGAAACTTCTGGTAGTTGAGGAAGAGGGCCATTCATCAACTACACACACCAAGGCCCCAATTCGAATAGCACCTATTTCGCCAAAGAAATCGCCCTACATCCCTATCGTTATCGACAATGTCTATGTATTGGCACTCGTAGATAGTGGATCATTCATCTCTCTGTTGAGTGCCAAATTTTTGTCATCCATTCCAGCATCGCAAAGGAGCCCATTGGAAAAGTTGACATCCATGGCATCTACTATCACAGGTGGGCTGGTAGACAACATTGGGACAATCGTACCATCTCTGCACTTAGGGAACAAGGCTACACAACACAAGTTCGTTGTTGCACGCAACATCACTCATTCAGTTGTCCTTGGATGGGACTTTGTTGACAGCCAGAATGCCTGCATATCGCCAACATCGTTCAACATGCCTGGAAATGTTATTCCCTTCATCGATCGTCAGCAATACCAAGCCCCGCTGAAATGTAAAGTTTCTCTTGTTGGACAAGCTCGGATTCCCCCAAGCTGCGAAACTCATGTCCAGGGAAGATTGTCGTCGCCACAGTTCGACATCGTACCAAGAGACTATGATGGCTACTTTGAACCTACATTGCAAGATCACATTCCTGTTATCGGTGCCAGATCTCTGTTCAAGCCTCAAGATGGTCTTATTCTAGTACGCCTCATTAATCCCTCTGACGAAGCAGTCGATCTACCTGCAGACACCTGCCTTGGTCAATTCTTCTCCATTACTGGGGATACCGAAGAGGAATACAAGATCATGAGCGTAACTACTGACGCTGATCCACAAGTGACAGACAAGTCACCAGTTGCTGGTGTTCTCCCTTCTTCAGAACTCACGAGGACAGAGTACGAGAAAGCTGAACATCTTCTTCAGACCTACAGTGATATTTTCAGCACGACGTCTCAGGATATTGGTCAGACTGACATTATTCATCACCACATTGACACCACCACAGCTACTCCAATACGACAGAGGGCGTATCGAACTTCACCAGCAATGAGAGTGGAAATTCAGGAGCAAGTGGATGAACTTCTGCAAAGAGGCATCATTGAAGAGAGCTTCAGCCCATGGGCGAGCCCAATCGTCATGGTGAAGAAGAAGGACAACACATACAGATTTTGCGTGGATTACAGAAAACTCAATGCAGTAACTGTTCGAGATTCTCACCCTATTCCACGTCAAGATGATTCAATTGACTCCCTTTCTTCATCAGCATATTTCAGCGTCATGGACTTATCAAGTGGATATTGGCAGGTCAAGCTCGATCCCCAAGATACAGAGAAGACTGCTTTTACCACAGGCACAGGGCTTTACCAGTTCACTGTCATGCCATTCGGACTGGTCAACGCTCCCATGACATTTCAGCGCCTCATGGAAGCCGTTCTACATGGCCTCCACTGGTCTACATGCCTTGTATACCTTGATGACTGCATAGTCATGGGCAAGGACTTCGATGATCATTGCAAGAACCTCCAAGAAGTATTGCAACGATTCAGAGACGCTGGACTCAAACTCAAACCCTCCAAGTGTGGCTTTTTCAAGAAAGAAGTTACGTATCTTGGCCACATAATCAACACCGACGGAGTGAAACCTGACCCAAACAACGTTGAGAAAGTCAAGTCCTGGCCTCAGCCGAGGACACCGACTGATGTCCGATCCTTCCTTGGCCTGGCATCTTTCTACCGACGTTTTGTGCCAAGTTTCTCTAAGATTGCAACTCCCTTGTCGACCCTTACACAAAAAGGTCAACAGTTTGTATGGACAGCAGAGTGTGAAAATGCTTTTCAACATCTGAAAGAAGCTCTAACCAATCCACCTCTCCTCGCCTATCCAGACTTTGAAAAGGAGTTCATCCTATCTTCGGATGCATCCCTTCATGCAGTTGGTGCTGTCCTCTCACAGACTCAAGATGGTAAAGAACGTGTAATCTCCTACTTCAGCCAAACTCTCAGCGCTACACAGAAGAAATGGTCTACCTATGATCGAGAGCTCTGGGCAATTGTTACAGCTGTTCGCCATTTTCGTCATTATCTGAGACACCAACACTTCACTATCCTGACAGACCACAAACCTCTTTTGGCTCTCAGGAAGTTCCCAATTCAAGACGATGCAACTGGGAAGAGAACACGATGGATATTGGAACTCAATTCCTACACGTTCAGCCTTATTCACAAGAAAGGACAATCACACAGAAATGCAGATGCATTATCTAGACGCCCGAGTCAAGAGAGCCAAGTCACTCCAAGATTGACGGATCAGCTACTCAAGCACATGGTGACCAATCCACTGTGTAATGCAGTCGAGACTCGTTCATCAATGAACACATCTACTCCCAAAGATGCAACGAGGCAGTCTGCACCAAACGTCCTTCATCCTTATCGTGGTGTAATCCTTGACAGTGATGTAGATGTTCAACATGAACAGCAACTAGATCAAGACATCAGTACAGTCATCGAATGCGTCAACAATGGTGAGCGGCCAACCATTCGACAGATCCGTAGACACAACCCCGGGTTAGACGTCTCTTGTGGCAGTATCCCAAATTCATCCTCCAAGACGGTATACTCTACAGGAAGAAGAAAGACAAGCTTGGTAATCTCTCATTCCAACTTGTCGTACCAAACTCCCTCATTCCAAGGGTACTTCAAGAGTTACACGGTGACCCATCATCCGGACATTTCGGCGCTCATCGCACAATACAGAGAGCAGAGTCAATGTGCTATTGGCCCTTCATGAACAAGGAAATCACTGATTTCTGCAACACATGCACAGCTTGTGAGTCTTTCCGGTTACCAACCCCTAAGCATCAAGCACCCTTACGTCCCATTACCACTACTCGCCCTTTGGAGATGGTTTTTGCCGACATTGCTGAGCTTCCAAGTTCAAGACGAGGATTTCGCTATATACTCGTTGTGACTGATCATTTCAGCAAATATGTCAATATCTTCCCAATGAAAGATCAGACTGCTCCAACCATCGCCAAACATTTGTTCGAAGAATATGTGAAAGAACATGGTATTCCAGAGACTTTGCACACCGACCAAGGTCGACAGTTCGAGTCAAGATTAGTGCAAGAACTATGCAGCAAATTGGGCATCAAAAAGTCTAGATCGACACCCTATCATCCCCAAGGAGCTGGCATAGTCGAACGTTGTAATCGCACCATCAAAGATCAACTTGCGAAGTACATTTCTCATCAAGGAGGAGAATGGGACACTCACATCAATCAAGTCCAGTTAGCGTACAACACAAGTACTCATGCCTCAACAGGTTTGACGCCATACTACATCATGCATGGCAGGGAAGCCCGTACACCTGCGAACATCACCTGTTCAACCCCCCCTCCATCGTCATCTGGCAAGACACTCCTCGAATACACAACCAACCTGTCTGAGCGATTGAGAAAAGCATGGGAGTACACCATACAAAATACACGACAGCAACAGCAACAACAGAAACGACAGTATGATGTGAAGAAACGCATTTCAAAGTATGACACAGGTGACTTTGTTTGGTTACATGACCCTACCAAAATCAGGAACAAACTCGAACCAAACTGGAAAGGTCCTTTCAGAGTATCTTCCTCATCAGACGATGGACTAAATTATGACATAGTTCATGTGCATGATGAAAAGTTCAAGCGACGGGTCCATCATAATCGTTTGAAACCACATCGAGCCAGAGCCCCACAAGTTATGTCAACTCCACCATCCCCACCAACCCCACAGCCTACGTCAATACATGGGACTGAGAGGACAACGACACAGTACCCACCAGGTCCCCCAGCAGACGACGAGACTAGGAGAAAGGTGCAGTCAAATCAACCTACTAGCCATGGACCAGCCTATATCACATGGTCATCTCGACCACCAGATCGCATCCTCCATCACGAGCAGTCGAACCATGACCGACCATCACGGTCAAGTTTGTCTGTTCGGCAACAAGCCTCAAACCAGCCAACCAGTTCAACAGAACGCCTCCTCCATCACCGACAGTCAGACCATGACCAACCATCACGGTCAAGTTTGTCTGTTCGGCAACAAGCATCAAGCCAGCCAACCAATTCTAGCCACCAATCCAGGCTGGTTGACTCAGCCCCACTTCAGCAACAATCTAGGCCATCACTGCCGACTACCCAAGCCCAACATCAGCTGTCCTCGCCGGTTGGCCAACTTCAACTCAGACCCCAATATCAACTGAGGTCGACGACTCACCAATCCCAACTTTGGCCATCCTCATCAGCTGAGCAACCTAAGCCGTCCTCATCCGCTGACCAACCTCAACCTCAGCCATCCTCATCAGCTGACCAACCCCAACATCAGCCGTCCTCATCCGCTGACCAACCCCAACATCAGCCGTCCTCATCCGCTGACCAACCCCAACATCAGCCGTCCTCATCCGCTGACCAACCCCAACATCAGCCGTCCTCATCTGCTGACCAACCCCAACCTCAGCCGTCCTCTTCCGCACGTTCGAGATCTGGTCGACAGGTTAAAGTACCCGCCAAGTTTCAAGATTACGAACTGTAAAGACTTTTGAGAAATAATGTTTGCAATAGTGATAGATAATTGGAAGACCTGCTGATTTTCACTTTTTCTCTGTCATACCTTGCATTGCTACATTGTTTGTGACATTGTTATTGAGGGAATTGTTGATTTGGGGAATGTTTTGGAAGATTTATGATATTTTTGTAGGACTTGTCAGTAAAGATAGGATTAGATTGTCAGTTTTTAATGTTTAGACGGGGAAAAGGAAGATGACATGCTTTCAAACATTTTGTCATGTGTTTTTCCATCAAATTAGTTAGTTACGCATCAATTGGGTGAACTCCTTAATGCGCCCATCTTTTATTTTCAACGTGTGTACATGTACATGTTTACATTGTTTTCTGAACATTATTTTTAGTCATTTGACCTACATGTATATTGATGTTTATGGATATTTGGATTTAAAACATCATCGATACATGAATTCATAAAATATGTTTTTTCGTTACATAAATCATTTGTAGTTGAGATTTTATCGACCATAGACACTGTATTTGTATAATGTCTCCTTAAATCTGAGACAGTTTTGAAAGAGTTATATGTCAGAATGCATGCATATTCTCTGTGTACATTGTATTTCATTATTCAATTGGCTAACTTATTCCAAAGATAATTTTAACAGTAACTCACGAAACAGTGATATTTTTTTCTTTAGGTGAAGACATTGCCATGTATTTTGTTAATAGTTTTTGTTAAAAATTGCCAAATTGGGTATGAAGTATTTGATATTTTGTCATTTATGACAGAGACAGGAAAAAAAGGAAATTATTTAATGTTTATGTCTACAAAACATCAGACTGGAATTTTCCGGGTGAAAAAGGATAGAACCCATTGAAGTTGGGACGTTGCTTGAAAGATGTTCATTGATGAAAGCATACCATTTTTTTTGTATTCGCTATATGTGTGACCTTTCAAGTTAAACAGTTTAATTTTCCCTAATATGAATAGATGCTGTTCCTTAAAAAAAAAAAAAGGGAAAAAAAGAGAGAATTGTACAGAAGGAAAACTTCATGATTTGATGCGTTCAGGTATTTCAAGCAAATTTTATGTGACGCATTTTCTTCGGAAACAAATGCATGTTAATATGATGTATCTTTTAAAATGAGGACATTTTTCTGTGAAGATGGTATATTATGTAAGGTTTTAATTTCACTGACCCAAGTGGTTACTTGTTTATTTTACACTGTACATTTAGTTTTCCACTCCGATATGCTTTAGCGCACTCCTGACCTACATTCATTCTCTCCTGTCTGCTAGCTCTTGGCTTCTATTGTTCTGTCCCTATTCATTCATCCTCATGCACATTACCTGCTATAGCACCACACACACACACACACTCTTCCTTATCTCTTAGCTATTCAACCCAGCACACATGGCACATGGCACTCTATCTTTTACAAGCTTTTCTATTGGTTACCTATTTATTATCCAATCTTGTGATTGGTTATTATTGTTTGATGGACTGGATGTCAGCCATCTTGGCAGCCATTTTGTGGTTGGAATAAAATCTGATAGTGCAGCTCAAGTCCTCAACCATGTGAGACCACTTTGTTTTGTGTGGGACTTTACAACAGTATACTATTAAATATCAGGAATATTGGATGCTCTGTTTCAAATACAGTCCAGATTGCCGAGCAATGAATTATCTCATGCTTCTTGTCCTTAAACCATATCTAACTGGTTTTTAAAACGGTATCATTTTAATTTCCATTTCCCAGCATTATTTTGAACTGTCCCGAAATCGCTTTCCTTTTTTTAAATGAGACTACAGCCCCATTCTATCCTTTTTCTATTGGGATATTTAAAGTGCGTGTCCTCCATGCAGACAAGGAGAAAGACTTTCTCAGTACCTTTATGGACAATACATCAACATAATGCGGTCATTGTTGCAATGTCATGAATGCTATTATTACCTCTTATGTAATCCTCGCAACTGACAAAAATATTCCGTCAATGAAGGGAGGGTCGGTTTTTTTTCTTCAATTCATTAATTGATGCTGCAGGTGCAAGCTATTGAACACAGAATCGAATAGCCAAGCTTCCCTATTCATTTGTGCCCTGTTACAGAATTCGTAGCATATCCTAAATTGAATAGATCCGTGTTCTGTTCATTATGCTATGTCAGGGCAGTGGCCTATTGTCATATCACTTGAAGTTTAAGTCAGCAGATTGCAAAATAAATGAAAATAACATAAAACCTCACTATTATATCAGAAATATCAGTAACTGAAAGAAAACATTTACGGGCAATCTTGACAACATCGGACTGCAAAAATATGAATAATTATGCATCCCGAAATCGTTAAATCAGTAAATCAACATATTAAAGTCGTTAACATGCAGAAAGTGCTATAAGACCAAGAAGTGAGCCACTTAGTAGCAGTGAGGCAAAGTGGTCTTGCGGATAAGACTGATCGCTTCACAACGCAATGTATGTATGTACTCGGGTTCGACTCCCAGCTTCTTCTTTATACCTCATGTTATTTTTTAATTTTTTTTTCTTTACCCCATGATATTGACGTGTCCATCTCCTTTTTTTAAAGGGGACACCCCCCCCACCTCCTCAACAAAGGAGAAAATAACATTTGATACTCTTTTTTTAACAAGCGACTCTCTGAATTAGTTAGAATACGTTTTTTGCTACATCTACAAAAATAAGTATCAATATGAAAAAATACATAAAGATTACCAGTGTGACACATTAGTCTAGTGGATAGGCAAACGCCTGGCAACTGGAAGGTATCGGGTTCGACTCCCAGCTAGTGCTTTTTTTTATTTTTTTTTTATAAATCTTTGAAAAAGAAAAACTGATGTTAGAACCCATTTTCATCTCACTCATAGTTTGGTGTGATAAAATAATTATTGTTGGTGTTGTTGATGTATGGGAAAGGGTTCCAAACCACAATATGTCAATGGATTCCTCAAAAAAAACTTGAAAAAGGGCCTATGGTGAGGGGGAGCAGCTGAGTGTAGGAAAAAACTGTAATGGAGCCCCTTGGGGGGGGGGGGGTCTTTTTTTTTGGGGGGGGGGGTCTTTTTGGGGGGCGTCTTTTTTTTTTTGGGGGGGGGGTCTTTTTTTAGCTGGCGGTCGTCAGCTAGCTGGCGGTCGTCAGCTAGCTGGCGGTCGTCAGCAGCTAGCTGGCGGTCGTCAGCTAGCTGGCGGTCGTCAGCAGCTAGCTGGCGGTCGTCAGCAGCTAGCTGGCGGTCGTCAGCAGCTAGCTGGCGGTCGTCAGCAGCTAGCTGGCGGTCGTCAGCAGCTAGCTGGCGGTCGTCAGCAGCTAGCTGGCGGTCGTCAGCAGCTAGCTGGCGGTCGTCAGCTAGCTGGCGGTCGTCAGCGTAGCCGGTGGCCGGTAGCGTTAGCCCCAAAGCCATGTCCAATTTTTAAACTACATTCAAGAGTCCCTTATTGCCAGGTTAAACAAGTTTTTTACATTTTCAGTACTACTTACATCCATTTATTCAATTTGTACACTCCCATGCTATCCTTTTCCAGTCTGTAAACAACTTTACAAAATGAATTCAATGATGGGCAAGGTTTTACTCCTCATATGAAAACGCCCAAACTTCGCGAGGTGAAACAAAGGGTCTTTCAATTCAAGTCTATTCAAGCCCAATATGGGCTAACAACTGGCCTGCATACCCGAGCAGAATCATTTTGTGCTCGACAAAGACACACAGCCTTGGGTAAAGAGGTCCATTATTATTATTTTGTTTAGTTATATTTTTTTCATTGACAGTATACTATTAAATATCAGGAATATTGGATGCTCTGTTTCAAATACAGTCCAGATTGCCGAGCAATGAATTATCTCATGCTTCTTGTCCTTAAACCATATCTAACTGGTTTTTAAAACGGTATCATTTTAATTTCCATTTCCCAGCATTATTTTGAACTGTCCCGAAATCGCTTTCCTTTTTTAAATGAGACTACAGCCCCATTCTATCCTTTTTCTATTGGGATATTTAAAGTGCGTGTCCTCCATGCAGACAAGGAGAAAGACTTTCTCAGTACCTTTATGGACAATACATCAACATAATGCGGTCATTGTTGCAATGTCATGAATGCTATTATTACCTCTTATGTAATCCTCGCAACTGACAAAAATATTCCGTCAATGAAGGGAGGGTCGGTTTTTTTTCTTCAATTCATTAATTGATGCTGCAGGTGCAAGCTATTGAACACAGAATCGAATAGCCAAGCTTCCCTATTCATTTGTGCCCTGTTACAGAATTCGTAGCATATCCTAAATTGAATAGATCCGTGTTCTGTTCATTATGCTATGTCAGGGCAGTGGCCTATTGTCATATCACTTGAAGTTTAAGTCAGCAGATTGCAAAATAAATGAAAATAACATAAAACCTCACTATTATATCAGAAATATCAGTAACTGAAAGAAAACATTTACGGGCAATCTTGACAACATCGGACTGCAAAAATATGAATAATTATGCATCCCGAAATCGTTAAATCAGTAAATCAACATATTAAAGTCGTTAACATGCAGAAAGTGCTATAAGACCAAGAAGTGAGCCACTTAGTAGCAGTGAGGCAAAGTGGTCTTGCGGATAAGACTGATCGCTTCACAACGCAATGTATGTATGTACTCGGGTTCGACTCCCAGCTTCTTCTTTATACCTCATGTTATTTTTTAA